TTCACTAATGGAGTTTGAAGTGTAGAATTTGCGATTTTAAGTGACAAACCATTCTAAAATCTAGAAGCACTATATAACAATGTATTCAAACTAATTCATTACGACAAAAAGACATTATTTTATTTTTAGAGATTATTAACGCTCTAAATTGAATTTTGGAACGAAAGTTATTTCAGCTTAAAACTAATATTAACTCAAATTAACAATCATTGTGTTTTTTCTATAAAACAATCATTTTATACAATCGTTTTATATATAAGCAACAATATATAATTTTAATAAGAATTAATAAGAATTTTAATAAGAAAAGAACTTATTATTACTTATTATTAGTTAATTATTATTTATTACTAAATTATTATTAAATTATTATTAAATTATTTTTACTCATCATTACTAAAAGTTAAAAGAGAACTTTATCTTAAATTTAAACATTTATATGTTAAATTATTAAAAAAATTAAATTATTAAAAAAATTAAAATATACATTGATGCAACTTATCTTTGTTTAACGCCATGTAATTTCATTTAGAGATTAATATATAAAAAATGACGATATTTTCCAAAGAAGAATATGTTTTTTTTCTGTGCAGTGACATCGTCGTTACAAAGTTAGAGAATCGGCCTACAAAGACTCTATTCTGGACGCATAGTGAACGCTAAATATATCTTTCTAATTCCGAGTTCCGTTTTTCTTATACGCACGTCACGTATAACGTCGTTTCAGCTTGAAAATCAGAAAGGCATGTTTAGCGTTCGCCATGCGTCCAGAATACGACCCCATCCTCCGTCGTGCGTCGTCCTGTGCGTTGATTGCGCTTCACTTCACCGTCGCGATTTAATATTCATATTTTAAACGGCGTATAATAAATTAACGACCGCGTCGACGAAAAGTTACGGTCTACCTCGAAATGAAATTTACGATCTCAATTGACGAAACGTGAAACAGTAATTCGCGAGTCTGTTTAACGAATGTTCCTTGCGTCACGATAAATTCCGACACTTTGGAAACGCACTTGTGACGCGGTAAATTCCGACGCTTCGAGGACGTAGTGGCGACTCGTGAATCGCGTATAAGAAATTGTAAACAGAAGACCGAACTCGCGTCGAACGCGAAATTAACGCGCTTCAATTATTTCCCGAGCAAAATAATGGCGAGATACAAAATGATCTCAATACGATATGGGCCGCTAATTACTTCCGCGAAATTGAAACATAACAACGTTCGACTTTATTTGTAGATTATAAGCGCGAAAATAAATACTTGTTTGAGGAACGTAGAAAATTAATGACCGCAGTCAGACTCTTTGTGCGCTGGCGTAATTATACACACAAGGTGCAATTGTGCTCAAGACAATCAGATCGCACACTAGGCGAATTAAATAACATCGAAACGTGAAAATAAACATTGAAAATGGATGAAAAGGATGAAATTTATAAGAGAAGTAATCAAAACTTATATTAAATACTACTTTTATTTTACTATACAGACGTTTAAAGAAACAATTTTCAGCTGTTCGCTGAAAAATTTTCTACATTGAGAAAAAAAGAATGATTTATCTAACTAAAATTAAAATCATTTTTTTTAATTTAATCATATTTTTTGTAGTGAAATGATAGTAGTAATATACATATAAAGCTATTACCACTAACATTATAGTAAAATTAAGCAAAAAATGGTTCTCTTGATTATTGAATTTATAGTAATTAATTCTTTATGAAATTATAATTACTAATAACCAAACAATTTTTAGTACAAGTTCCAAACATTCTTTTCAGTGTAAATAAGTATTTACTATTTCTTAAATATTTTTTTTTACAATGTAGATCTACAAAAATGTGTTAGGTGTTTGCAATCGTAATTCAATGATTTTTATTCAGCCAACTGATTTCAATTTCGCTTGCACGTGCGCGCGCGCACGCACGTCAAATATAATAAACTATTTAGAAAATGCATTTAATCGCGACATTCTAATTGGTAACTGATATTCGTAGTTCCTCATATTTTCGAATTCTCTTTGTTCGAAGTTCGTATATAATATTAGAGACGCACAGGAAACATCTCAGTATTCGCTGAACAGTCACCTTAAACATTTTAATTGTGTATAGAGGATTTCTTTATTTCTGTCAAGGTACCATATTCCACACATGTATTATTTCAAAATTGAGATTACAAACAATTATCCATTTTCGTCAGGCACACAAAATATATCAGGATGAGCGACTTTGTCTACTTAAGTAAATATGATAAAAAATACAATGCATTGGAATATGATAATTGTACCGTACAAAATGTTACGTCCTGCGATTTATCTTTTTAGTGCTAACCCGGTATCGTGAATTTTATTATTTTAGTCGCGGGTTTAGTTAGTTTCACGAGGACGTGTTTCATCGTGAGCGGCTACGTTGAAACTATTAGCAGGCTGAAAGGCCGAATATGATTGTTAGCGGGATCTCGGGGTACGCGACTCTTTATTCTGCTTCCACGGCAAGGTCAGGAATCAATGAAAAAATAATCAGGAGGTGATTTGGAGTACGAAAATAAAGGGGAATTTATTAATAAGAAAGTGCACGGATATTAACGACGCACGGCGATAAGAGCGGGGTAATAATATTATTTGTCGACTCACTTTAGTCGCCAGGTTCCCTCTGTGATGCAGAAGATTTCGAAGCGCTGGCTGCGGCTGGAGAAGAGTGTTGCCCTGGTGTGGTCGAATTTGGTCTAACTATTTTACACTCGCGAGACTCGTATAAGAGGTTTGGAAAATGAGGAGTTTAGAGATCGGAAACGTGGGTCTAGTAACGTCGTCAATGAGCAAATAGCTCGGGAAATACACTGAGAGAAAAGACTGGTAACCATAACAAACTGCATTTAGTTACAGAAATTCGTTGAATCCTTAGTAACTAATACTAAATATGATAATAATTACCAAATATTTAATAGATCGGGAGTATGACGTAATTGCATTCACAGTAACATCAATTAAATAATTTAGTAATAGTTACTTAATGTTAAATATTTAATATGAAATATACTACAGTTATGAACAGATATTTGATAATTGTTATGAAATTGTTATATCTCATGTAATAAAAGATTCAATAGGTACGAGTTCTATTTTGCTACCACACTGAGAGAAAAAAATAGTTGGAATAACTATAATCTCACTATATTTTACAGTTCGTTTTGGCCTCAAACATATTTTTATAGTTCATCTAAACATGAAGATATAGTAGAATGAACACAGATTTATAGTTATCATCTTATTACTTTATATATATGATAAAGCATCTTTTGAGAGTATAGTTACATGTACCTATATTTGCAAAATATTTCAATTGTATTGACTATATAAAATAGTTAATTTCTCTTACCATTTAATATTTACTATCTTACTATCTTACTATATTTTTTATTTCAAATAATTATAATTCTTGGTAAAAATTTTACACGGGTTAGTTGTACTATGCTTATATTGTAAATATTACAAATACTATGGTAACATTTACTATAAAAATTATATTCCTAACTATAATCTTTTTACTATGCTATTATAGTTCCAAATATCATACATTTTTCTCTTAGTGCAGTATAAGTATGTTTTGTTGCAGCACAACGAAAAATTCATTCATTTGCAGCTATTACATCGTTTCAATATCTATTATTACAGATGGTTGGTTGAACCAACCAAAAATTTTGTAACTATTACAAAATTGCTTATTTTGCTGAACTATTTAATAAGTTTTATTTACCAAATATATTCTGGAAGCAAATAAATTTTACTACTGTCAAATAAATAATTTATTTTACAGAACTAAATTAATTAATAAATATTGCCATAGCTTTGGCCCGCTATATTTACGCCTACCATTTAGTAATAGTAACCAAATTTTGATAATATTTATTAAATCCTTCTCTCAGTGTAGGGAAGCGGAATGAACGAGGGCGTTGGACTAGTAACGCCTTCGTGGGAAAGTGATAGAGACAGGGTTAGGAGTTATCGTGTTGATGATCGGCAAGCCGGAACGTCAACAGGGCCTCAGCGTGTTCTCCACGGTGTTGCCAGTGAAGAGAAGCGTTTCGGCAGATGATGCCTTGGAGTTTCCCAGCGGAAGAGTTGTCCTGGAGTTGTCAACGACGGCCAGCGAGCAGAAGGAAGTGGGAAGTGGAAGATAGAGCCAGAGAGGCCCCTTTGAAGCCCTTCGGCTGGTCGATTAGTGATGTGATTTTGGAAATCGAAGGACCAGTAGTTTTCCTGAGGAATGGATAAGGAGGGCTTGGGAAATCTGGTGCCCAATGGAAGTTTCAGGAAAAGGGGCACGGAGTAGGATTTAGGAAGTTTAATAACCAATGAAGTTCGTGGGGAAAAAGAATGAGAAAGAGGAGTGATTCACGGAGAGTCTCAGGAAAATGCGTAATTTAGGGAGAGATTATCTGATCGGTGCTTTACAAGGTTTATTAGTTTTACAATATTTATTTAGAATCGTGGTCGGCTAGGTAATCGGTACCTAGCCGGCCGATAGCACCGAGCAGAGTATTTCTCTTAAAAAGAGGAAAATGTTATTTATTACCTCAGTTGGCTCTTCTTTTCTCCATCCGCTTCTGAAATGATAAGATTATAATATTTGGGGCCGCTGTCCCAGGCCCGATCGTCGGAGGAGTCGCGCGTTCTTATTCTCTACCTTTTGTTGTAATAATCACTCAAAAAAAAAAGAAAAAAAAGGGAGAAGGCTAGGAGGATAACCAAGGGAAAAAGGATTACGAAAAAGAGTTCGGATTTCTAATACCTGCCTTCCTTCTCTTTGGGTGACGTCTCGAAATCTCGTGACGTAACAAAAATTATAATAATTTCTTTCATCCAAACATGTGTCACGTTTGCAAGAAGACAGACCTTTTGACATTTTGTAATCAGTGCTACATGATCTCTTACTGTAGCGATGCACACAAGTTAATGCACTATGAACAACACCGTCAGTCTTACAAATATATAACAGAATATTTAAAAGGAAAGAAAGGCGATAAATGACCCTCTCTTTACTAACATCCAAATGGATTCAGTCAAGATACGAATTTCTACATGAAGTCAAAGAACAGTTCTCACGTAAATTACAGAAGTATGAAGAACAAATGATCATGTTTCCAAAGTCGTGTTATCTGTGCCATTGGCAGGATAATATGCTTACCTGCATAAAGTGTTATTCTGCTAACTATTGCCTCAAACATGAACAAGACTTCCAAGAATATCATTCGTCAAAATGCCAGAGCTTGTTGTTATTTCTCAACCTCGATATGAAAGATCTCTGTGGTATAAAATTTGAAAGAAAGTTCTGTGCATTTCCAGATGATGGAAAACCTGTTGATGATACGCATTGTTTTATTATATATTATATGCGCAACGTTCCAGAAAACTCAGAATCTTGGGAAGTTAATGAATATGTTTATTCAGATTACATATCAGGACCATTAACCTTCTATTACGGAATGAAGAATGCGAATTTATTAAGTCTTCACATGGACAGAGATTTATATATTGTTCACGTAATAACATCAAACTACCTTGAGAGAAAATATATTGCAGCTTGGGAGCTTCTCTTGCACGGTTTACGTTGCACAAAGCTAACTATTGTACTGGTAGGACTAGAATTAGATGATGAAAGTGGCGATATCGATGTTTGTTGCTTGTGCATAAATCGCCAGAAGAAGCTTAGATTCATATTTTGTTCTATGTTGTATCACAATTATGTAAACGATCAGTCATTTCAGCGCCCAGATTTCATTGTAAGATTTGAAGCAGATTTTAGTAAAAATTGATCATGGTACGAGAATCTATTATCACAGAATAAGGACTGCCCAATGCTTTTAACCGCTGCATCGAAATCTGTAGCGAATAAAAATATAAATAAGATTGATATGCTTTTCCAACCAATTTCAAGACCTCGATATAATATCGAAAATAAATTTAAATCCATTAGACCATGGAGAAATTTGGAGAATGATTTTGTCTCGTATCGTAATGCACATGTGACTATCTACAAAAATTTACTTCCACTGAGCTTAGTTGAACCGATTTGAAATTCTTGTATACGATTTTCATATCAGTTTGATAATATTTTATAGAAAATATAGATTGATTATATGTTTCATGAGAATTCTTTTATATTCATTATTTTTAACAATATTATCAGTTAATTATTTTTATATGACGAATAGTTTAATATGACTTGCTTTATATGAATTATATGCTTTATATGTGATTTATAGATATTTTTAATAAAGAATATATTAAATAATTATAAGAAAATATATAAATATTTTAATAAAGAATTTATAATTACTCTTATTAGATGTTTCTTATATTTTGTTTTATATTGAGGGGAGGGAAAATATGTTGACAGTAATAAAAAAATATATTGTGTGCATAAAAACTCCCTAAAGTGAAGTACGAAAAACTGCTATGAAAAATAACGGCTTAAAAATATACTTTTGAATATATTTATTTAACAGTAAATATAGAGGAGATATATAAATTGTTAAGAACTGCATTGAAATATATTTGTCTTTATGACTTGCATATATTTTGGTATATTAATTGCGAAATACAGAGGTACAATATAGAGGAGTAATATAAAGAAGCTTAACTTTAACATTTCTATACTGGGTGTTTTCCAGAATCATCGCATAATACTTTCATTGCATTTTCTAAGACTTACAGAAAATTGAAATTTTATTATAAAAATATTGAGTCCTTAACTCTTTTCAAGCTGTAACGGAAAAAAATAGAATGGTATTTCCTTGAATTAATCTTCAAGAATACTTTAAGAATATTTTTGCGAATTAACAAAAGAAAAAAGAGGCAAATAAGAGTTGACGCCAGTGACCGGGCAAAATTGATTATATATTAGTACAATAAAATTACAAATTCGTAGACGTTTCGGTCCGGGTTTAGACCCTCTTCAGTACATAATAAAGAAGTTAAAATTAAATTCCGTCAAATCGCAGAAGCCACTCAGATAAGTAAACGACTGTTTCCTTAAAATCAAGATAGAAAATATATTTGAAAATAACCGAAAAGTAGAAAATTGTTAAGAGCTTACCATGCGGTCGATATGTAAACAGAACGGCGTCAGCGGATAACGAACATTACGCAGAATAAAATGTAAGATAATCGAGAACAAAACGCTATATAAATCGAATATACAAGACATTACGAAGTACAAACGGTCAAATAAATATAAAAACAAGGCAAGGAAAGCAAACCTCTATTTTTACTCTTATTTTCCTCTTTTTTCTTTTGTTAATAATTGTTTTGAGAGTTTTATTGTCTTGATTAACTTTTGCGAATGATATACTCGAAATTAAAAAAGTATTTATGTATATTCATAGACAGAAAGGATGGTTATTGGAGATTCTATGGAAAAATATAATAAATAAATAATTTAAACACTTTGATAATATTTACATTTTTGTAATATTTATACTTGTAAAGTGTACATAAACAAAAAGTATTTCTTCACGCGTTGTGCTCAATTCTAATGTAAAATAAAACCAGAAATTTTTTGGAAAAACATTTAGAGTAGCAAAAGAGATTCGTTTCAGTTTTTCATTTCGAATCGCATATTTCAACTTTTGCTATTTTAATTTAAACTTAAATTTCCAATTAGAGTTCATAATTTTTGTTTGTTTTAATGAGAGAAATAAAAATCGGATTAGATTGCACTTTGTTTTAAGACGTCTTTGAGATGTTATTTTAATTTTTGAAACTCGTGAACTCTCCATTCTGTCCATTAGAAGAATTCATTTTTTAGTGGTAGATTTTTCTCATTGGATAAAACAAATAAAAAAAGTTTATCTAAAAAATTATGGAAAATCTTTTTATCTACGAGTGTACATGTTTAATTACGATGTTTATTCCTAATTGTCGATGCAACGATTTCTTTTTTCCTCGTGTATTTCGCTTTTCTTTTCTCCTTTGTTGTCGAATAAAGCAATTCATTGCTTTTCCTCTCGCATTGCTTTTATACGTTTGCACAAATGACTGGGCGTGCCTCGTTTATTCGCGGGAGAGGAAGGCAAACCCTAGGCGAAAAAGTTTATTCATCAGGGAAGGACTAGCCCGCCAAGTGGTCGGCTTTGTGACCGTAAAGACCGGGGAAAACTCGCGTACATAGGCTGTATGGCCGACATCCAAGGCACTTCATTCGGATTCATTCTTGTAGCCGCGTCTAGAATTATCTCCTGGATTATTCGCGGCTATTGCTGTTATGAGAGACGCGTACAAAGGTATAATGTTTTAGTAATGAATCATGTGTTCAGTAAAATTTCTCGCATAAAAATCTTTCATAATTTTCCCAGATACAATGCAGATTTCAATCCAAATGCCTGCAAATATAAGAAATATAAGCAATAGTTGTCCTATTGCTATATCCATTATAAATCTTATTCTTATCACAAAAATAGTTTTTCTGTCTAAAATTGTATTAACCCTTTAAGTCACGAATTTTTCTGCACAACTTTTTTCTTTGTTCAATCGATATCTGGGGGTTTTTGAGGTCGCTAATTACGAATTTGAAGTCAGTTTTTGAAAAATCTAGATAGTGGGTCCAATATGGCGGATGACAATTTTAAAACTCCCTCGATTTCCGTAAAAATTGATATCCGAGGGTTTTTGGCGTCGCTAATTACAAATTCGAAGTAATTTTTTTGAAATTCAAGCTATTCACAAACTTAACTTCACTCATTTATGGGAAGAAGTATAACTTACTCCGATTTTTGCTTGTCATCTTGAATTTTGAAATTTTTGAGATTGCGTCATCATCTACAGCTCAAAAAGCATCAACCAAACCATTTTTTCCATAGGTTTACTTTACAATATTTTTGGTAAATGAATTAAAAAAAAAACCATTTCTTTACATCAATTTGTTTTTGAATAATTACATTTGCAAAATTTAATATTCTATGCAGATGATTCTGTTAGAAGAATATCTAATCTCTTCACAATAAATCCACATTTATTGTCTCGAAGTCTCTACAAATTAGTTTAAATTCGCAAAAATTGCTTTAAAAAAGTTCATATATGATACTATGACTTAAAAAGTTAAAGAAACTATGAAAAATCACACTCCTTTTAATGAATAAAAGGTACTTTTACGAAATTAAATAGAAAGTCACAATTTTGTACCATCTATTGAGGATTTTATAAAATAAAAAAATAGAATAAATAATTTAAACACTTTGATAATACTTACACTTTTGTAATATTTATAAAGTGTATATAATGAGAATATTTACACTTTTGTAACATTTTTAAGATATTTTTTAGACGTATTGTGTGAGCTTATTCTTCCAATTCTCTTACTCTTTTTCTTTTTATAACGGTTTTAAGAAAATTTAGCTGTTCATATGGCGACGTCCGGTTTTCTAAATATACTTTCATTGTATTGTATCACTTTCCTGTTAATTATTCGTAATGCATGAGCACAAAATATTATCTTACGCGAACTGAACCTCGTCAAGCTATCGCGGCTGCTTTCGAACATCGATTCTTCGGATACTCGACGAGTCACGATGAATGCATATGTAGAAAGGGACACACGGCTAGTTTAAAATGTCTAATCATTTCAGATCTGGTGAACGTTTGTGGGCATTAATGAAGTCGCGTGTACGTGCACGACGACGCGGCGCAACGCCGCGCTCCGCCAGCTAACTAGAAACAATTTCGCCCACGTAGTTAACTTCATGGTGCGATGAGAGAGACTTTTTTTCATTGTTTCAGGCGCAACCCGTGCACATTGGAGCGGAGGAGGCCAAGAACTTGCTGTAATACCGCTGCGTGCCCAACTATTCTAACAGCCGGCCGTCACGAATACGCCGTTTTAAAAGGCCTTCATCCGTGTAAAAGCCTCGGTGATTCGACGCTAATTATGAGTAACGACAAGCTTTTAACGCGTCGCGGCACGCCAGCCCGTACCTCGGACCGTTCTATTTACGGCTCTCTTCTTCCCGGAGCATTTCTCAGGCTCGAAATATAGTGTCACGGACTATCAGAAGAGATATCGCGGCGATTAAAAGGCGAAACCGTGGCGCGCGACTGCTGCAGGTAGGAATTGGAATAAATTTGTAACATGGGGGGAGGGGAGGGAGGGACGAGACAGTCGGAACGATTGTCCGTTTGATACACACAGGTGTAGCCTCCATAAATCAGCGTGTTGATCCGCGTCGCGTGTTGATGTCGTCAAGTCCTTGAGCGGTCTGTTGTGTATCCCGGTAAATAATTTAAACACTTGTAAATAGTGCGGTAACCAGTGCGTAATGAACATCGAATCGTTAACTGTCAGATCGGTAGAATTTTCTAGAAAAAATTCCTCGCAATCTTTTTCTTTCGTAACAGAATGCCTCTAAAAATTGTTTTCCCCCGAGTACATAAATTATCGGTTCAATCAAAAAGTTCGATTCAAATTTTTGAGCCAGCCGACTGACGGAGTCAAATCAAAACTTTATTATGTTCAAAAGTACATCTCTAAGTTGTTTGTTTTATAGTAGCTTTTCATGCGCCACTTAAAAATTTCTTTATATATTTCTTGATATATATTTCTTTATATATTTCTTTATATATTTTAATTTCTATAATATATTTTATTTTAATTTCTTTATATATTTCTTGATATATCTTCTGTTACTGTCAACGTATATTTCGAGTAAAACAGAACTTAAGAGTAATTAAATATATCTTCAGTAGATGCTTGGAGTTTCTTCGGGAATGGATCACACCGGATACAAAAGCATAAATCTAGAAGTAAATTCGATATTCAGATTTAGAAATGCGTTATCTGTATTAAATTTGTGTTAGGTCAAATTTTGGTCGAACCCAACGTGATTTTTAGCCTACGTGACTGTTCGGGCAGTAGTGATGTATATCATTGAATTTGCCTCAATAAGTGCTTTCCAAAAATAAAGACATGTTTGAAATATGTCAATAGAGTATAAAGTTATATATTTATGTAAGCAGTCACTAGCTTTATTATTGACCAAATTATAACTTCAGATTTTTGGCCTATGTTTTCATTTCTCGCAAC